CTCCCTCCCTTTCTCCTCTCCATCTCTCTCTCTCCCTCTCTCCCTCCCCATTCTCCTCTCCATCTCTCTCTCCCCTTCCTGCTCTTTCTCCCTCCCTCCCTCTTCCTCCCTCCCTCTCTCTCTCTTGCACACACGCTACAGCACTATCTCTCCACCTTAAAACACGCGGACTTCAACTCCCAGAATTCTCCCGCTGGCCTTGCTGGCTGGAGAACTCTGGGAGTTCGAAGTCCACACCTCTTAGCATTGCTAACGTTGAGACACACTGATCTAGACCGGAGACCCCAGAGGTGAGGTGAGATCTCAGTAAAGAATTACACCATTTGGTCCACGTACCCCACTCGCTGTGTGGTGTTGTCCGGAATAACAGGAAATCTGGGGTGGAGGGTGCAGAGATTCGAACTGCTGCGGGCACCCTTGCTAGAGGATGTGCTCCTGAGCACGGTCAGAATGCAAAACCACCCCCCCCCACCAAAGCCGTAAGCAGGAAAAGGCTCACCCCCAAAGAAATAGAATAAGGAAATCTTATTTTTTTCCCATCTAAACTACAGCTTGGAGAGAGAGAAGCCATTTTGTGCCTGAAGCAGAAACCTTAAGCCTTTTGCGCGCAATGGACCTGCAAAACTTGGGCCGATAGATCAAGACCAGGGGTGGGATTCAAAAATCCCAGTAGCCGGTTCTCTGCCCAGTTGCTGGGTGGGTGTGGCGCACAGTGGGCGTGGCCTATCAGAACTTCCCAGGGGGGCATTTTTTTTTTTTGCCTTCCCCGGAGTCCGGAGGCTTCTCTTGGGCCTCCCCCGGGCTCCGGAGGCCTTCCGGAAGCCGGAAACAGGCCCGTTTCCCTACTTCCGGTTCGGTCCCTTTTCCGCCGTCCCAGAGCCTCCCCGCAGACCCTACACCTACCTGCATCCAAAACGGACCACCTGGAGACTTCTGGGAGGGGCCAGCCGGTCGGTTCAACTACTGGTTCAGTGAACCAGATGTAAACTTAACATCAGAGATCTGGAATGTGAATGATAAAATAACCGAACCGGCGGCATATAAAGAAAACCAACCTAAAATGTTGTATGGTTGATGTTTGGCACCCTCAAGACTGGCTAAATTTAAAACCAAATTGTTGGAAATGTGGGCAACAACAAGGTACCTTCTTTCATTCTTGGTGGACGTGTCCCAAAGCGAAAAAAAAAATACTGGAAAACGATTCAAACGTGGTTAGAAGAGTTAACTGAAAACAAACTGGATTTTGTCCCAGAATTATTCCTCTTAGGAATAATAATAATAAAAAAAGCTATAACAGAAAGACAAAATATCTTATATTTACATATATTAACAGCGGCAAGAATTTCATACGCTCAGTACTGGAAGAAAAACTCCATACCACCTGAAGGCTTATTAATAAAAAAAAGTTTAGAGCGTGTGGAAATGGATGAATTAACTATGGAATTAAAAGGGAAAGCAGGCACAAGAATATAATGCAGTATGGGAAGCATGGTTTATTTGGATCGATAATAGATATAAGAATAGAAAATGTAAATAATGTAAACTTAATATCCAGTTTCACCAAACCGATCAAGGCCCTTCCCTTTATCCTTGCTGACCAGCTGCCCTAGTGGTTAAGCTGCCCTGCTTAAACCCCCCAAACCTTCTCCGTTCCCCCCCCTCTGCCCCACCAGGGACTACGCCGCCATTGTGTTCTTCGCCAACAGCCGCTTTGAGACCGGGAAGAAGAAACTGCAGTATTTGAGCTTCGAGGATTTTGCCTACTGCGCTGAGCAGATGATCGAGAACTGGACTCTGGGGGCCATGGGTAAGAGGGCAGATCCTTCAGGGTATGGTCTCCAGCGGGGATTCAGGGACCGTGGTACCCGCAGCGAAGGATTGTTGTAGGTTTAACAGCAGCACTGACCCCATTTTCAATCTTCCTTTTTAGTTTTAGGGAGGTTTTGCCATAACTTGCATCGGGTTTACCCAACAGGAAACACAACCAGATAAACTAATTCTGCTTTATTGTAAAACAACATTAAGAGAGTCGTGCAAATCTGAAAGTGCAATTCTTCCTCCTCCCCATATAAGGTAAAGGTTCCCCTGGCACATCCATGCTAGTCGTCTTCCAGCTCTAGGGGGCGCTGCTCATCTCCGTTACAAAGCCAAAGAGCCAGCGCTGTCCGAAGACGTCTCCGTGGTCATGTGGCCGGCATGAATAAACAAGGCGCACGGAACGCTGTTCCCTTCCCACCAAAATGGTCCCTATTTTCCTACTTGCATTTTTTACTTGCTTCCAAACTGCTAGGTTGGCAGAAGCTGGGACAAGTAACGGGAGCTCACTCCCATGACGCGGCGCTGGGGGTTCAAACCGCCGAACTGCTGGCATTTCTGATCGACAAGCTCGGCATCTTAGCCCCTGAGCCACCGCGTCCCTGCCCCTATACAACCTGAGAAACTAGGGTGGGTCTCTGCCCAGCATTTGCCCTGCCTGTAATGCAACTGAAGGCTAAGTAGCCTTTTATCTGACTGTTCCTGGGCAGGGTCTCTGCTCTCGTCTCCGGAGGTCTTCCCCTCATATCATTACACATCCCTGCACACACTCTGAACTCTTTCCATAGATCTGAATTCTCTCCCCCGCTCCCCTTGGAGCCTGAGAAACTAGGGAAGGTCCCTTCTGAGCCTCCCGAACGTCTTTTACTACCTACAATCACCACCTTGGGTTCCTTATCTTCTATATATATATATAAAAGTGAAATACCGCTCACACATCATCACAAAATCTCCAGAACCGTAAAGCCTACAAACTTGAAATTTGGCACATAGATTTCTCTTGGCTTCCAGGTGCTCGCTCAGAAAAGATTTTTCAAAATGACCATCAGAGCCATAGTATTTCCTGTATTATTATTATTAACACGCTCTGATGCTAAGGAGTTCTACTCCCCCTCCCCACCTGAAAAGAAATCTCTTCCAAATGCAAAACACAGCAGAGGAGAGGAGTTCCAGTTTCAGTTTCACAGCAGCACCAAGCAGCTTTAGTACAGAACAGTTGAGTTAAGCCATGCCCAGGCTCCTTGCTGTCTCTTTGTTCACATAGCAAATACTGTTTCAATTTCCAAACAGCCCTCAAATCTCACACACTGACAGGACGCTAGCCAGATGAATACCAATGGATGCTGGTAGGCAGAGGCAGAATTTTTTGTCTCCTCCCCAGAAACTAAGCCCGACCACATAATTTCATAGTGAAGCACAGATAATGAGCTACTAAAGCAATATAAAAGTGGAAATGAACAAACAGATCCATAAATGACTCACTTTATTTGTCCTGGCAGATACCAATGTGGACGACATGGACGTCGACTTGGATAAAGAATTTTTACAGGGCCTGAAAGAGTTAAAAGTTCTGATTGCAGATAAAGATCTTTTAGATCTGCACAAGAGGTATATGGAGGCAGGGGATGTGTGTGTCCTGGGAAGGAGATTGGCAGAATATTCAGAGTTTTGGCGCAAGGGCAATTAGAGTTTTGCACTTTCCCTGCAAGGCAGGTGAATAAGTTGTTAGGAGCTGGCGGGAGGTGCCGTGAATTAAATATCATTTGATGACTTTTCATTCTCTCTTGTCAACACATAAAATATTTCTCTGGTCTTTTTAGAGTTGCCAACAGAAAGGGAGGGGGGAGCAGTGGGGCAGCTTGCAAACCGAAAGTGCATTCCATTAATAGTTGTTCAAAGATAGTAACTAGGTGACTGAAGTTTCTGCCAGGCAAAATTCTAACTGGAGAACTTGACGGATGACTCTGGGCTATGGCTGTATCCCATTGGAGAATATGAATTAGGATACACCCAGGGGATGGAGGGAAAACCAGGGTCAAGGGTGACAATGAATTATGTGCCTCAGAGTCGGCTACACCCAGGCAGTGCCGGCATGGTTACTCCTAATAAATCCTCTTTTAAGTTTTGGAAGTTGGGCTCAAGGCTCATGATTTAAATGGGGGAAACTGCCAGAGCCCCGACACTCTCCCAAGACTTTTGAGTGGTTCACCTCCGCATCCAGGGGAAGCAACACAGCTCCTTTGGCGAGGTATAGCAAGCTAAAGGGCAGCCTCAATTCCTCGGAGAACGCTGAGGACTAGCACCCTGTCCCTCAGTTTGGAGAGAGAAAGAGCAGAACGCGCCGGGTCGAAGCAGAGATTGGATTCTTCCCTGCTAGTAGATTTTGCAAATTACAGGCAACTCCTCGAGTTAACGACTGGTCCTTATAGCAACCCGTTCAGAGTTACGACCTGCCCGATAAAGGGACTTAGACTTGGATCTGACATCCCACACAATTGTACTTTGAATGCTGAGCAACAGATCATCTTAATGCACAGTGGCTTTCTCCTGCATTTGCGCCTCAGATTTTACTGTGGTTTTTGCCAAAAATCAGCCATTAATTTCCAATTTTCTTCCTTTTCTTTTTGTAAAAAGTTTTTATTTTTTACATGCAACATATCCATTCCATTTCAGTCATGTGTCGATTACATATTTCAATTGCTAACCATTATTAATAATATTCTTCTTATCAAACTTAACAATACAACAATAATCACATTCCCATATATATAGTATAAACGAGATCCAATATATCTATTACAGTAGTTTCTCTTATTGCTCGATGAATACATCCAATCCCTTTTAATTTGTTCTATTTTCTATCCATTGATAAAACAAATCCCATACCATATAATATTCAGATTCTTCTTTAATGTCTAGTGTCAGTCTATTCATTTCTGCACATTCAAATATTTTTTCAATTATTTTTCCCTTTATTGGTATCCTATCACTCTTCCAGTTTTGGCCAAATACAATTCTAGCCACTGTTAAAACATGTATAATTGATTTAAGTCTTTTCTTTACCATAACCTTCTGGTACCATTCCTAGCAGGAAGGTTTCAGGCTTCAAATCTATATGTTGTTTAATCATTTTTTTCCAACCATGTGTGTGTTTTAGTCCAATACCTTTTAGCTTCTCTAATTAATCTCCAATTTTCAACAGACGGAGGGAATGGCTTTTGTCAGGGACTGCCACAGTCACATTGTAAAACCTTGCCAGTCGTACGGCCAACCCTGTTTTACAACTGTTTCGACTTACAACCGAAGTGGGCAGCCTCCTTTGCAGTCGTAACTTGAGGATTCTCTGTATTTTGCACTTTGGATTTAAACCCTTGCTGCGGGTGGCAGGTGGGGTTGAATTCCCATCTTAGAGGGTTACGCGTTTGGGGAGGAAGCTTTTCGCGTTTTAAAATAGTTCTGAAAATGTTTTAAAAGAAATAAACCAGTGGAAATGGCTTGTCTCCAGAAGTTGCGATCACTTGGGGTTTTAAGAAGAGGCCGGACAGTCACTTGTCTGGAATGGTTATAGGGTCTGCTTAAGCCGGGGGGTTGGACTAGATGACCTCCAGCCTTGAAATAGGCTCATGGGTGGGGGTTTCTCTAAAATTTCCTGAATTCTTCCTACCACTTCCCTTTTATACTTCACAGCCTGGTGTGCACAGCACTGCGGGGGAAAATCTCGGTGTTCAGTGAGATGGAAGCCAATTTTAAGGTGGGTCCTGCAGGGTCCCAGGCCCAGGGTTTGAATCCTGGCATACCTCCTTTTGTTCCCACAACCTCCTTGTTAGGTAATAGAGAGAGAAAAACAAAAAGTGGACGGGATCTGAATTTTTCTCCAGATTCCTGTGAATCGGGGAAATGCTTTGTGAGCTGTTATTTATTGGCGGGCCACACGGGGGAGCCATTGCGCTTTGGGGAGGGAAAAACCCACCTTCTAAGTTGAACCACAAACTGTGGATTTTGTAGAAAAGATTGTTTAAAAAAATGTCTTGACCACTTTAAGATGAGTGGACTTCAACTCCCAGAATCCCCCAGCCAACATGGCTGGTTGGGGAATTCTGGGTGTTGAAGTCCACAGATCTTTTAAATTACTAAGATTTGAGAACACTGTCTTAGAGATTCCCTTGTTTACATTTTATTTTATATATATTTTATAGATTTATATTAATATTATATTTATATTTATATATGAAGAAACAGACATCTTGTGATCTCCGGAACTAAAATTGTATTTATTATACTTAACTATGTTTTCGTCAGCCTCTGCTGACATCGTCAGAGTATTAAACTACCATTGCATGCGTAATAGGCCCTTCCAACCGCCTCCCACCTGTAATTAACTCTGGAAGGGCCTATTACGCGTACAAGGGCAACATTGATTAATGATTAATTAATAATTCCTTTATATACAGTATATGAAGGCGTAGATCTCTGTAATGGTAGTTTAATACTCTGATGATGTCAGCAGAGGCTGATGAAAGCATAGTAAGTATAATAAAATATAATTTTTGTTCCGGAGATCACAAGATGTCTGTTTCTTCTCTTACAAGTAGACCTGGAACTTGTATTTGTAGAATAGTTTGTAATATAAATATATAAATATTATATGTTGTTTTATTTTTATTTTACTTTACTTTGTTTGTTTTATCATTTTGATTAATCAAATTTGCATTTGATCTTGCCCATTTCCCTTGCAGAATCTCAGTCGGGCTTTGATCAACATTGCCTCGAAGCTCACCCACAGCAAAGACGTCCGGGATTTTTTCATTGATCTAGTGGAAAAGGTAATAGGAGTCACTTCCCAGCCCTGGGAATATGGGTCTTGAGCTGCCTGACATTTATACTTTTTAAAACTAGACTTCCAACTCCCGTTATTCCCCAGCCAGCCTGTTTTAAAATGGTGGACTGAATTCCCCAGCCAGCATGCTTAAGATGGGTAGATTTCAAGTCCCAGAATCCCCAGCCAGCATGCTTTAAGATGAGAGACTTCAATGCCCAGAATTCCTCAACCAGCAACTTTAAAATGCCTGGACTTTAACTCCCAGAATTCCCCAGCCAGAATACTTTAAAATGCCTGGACTTCAACGCCCAGAATTCCCCAGCCAGCATGCTTTAAGATGGGTGGACTTCAACGCCCAGAATTCCCCCAGCCAGCACTATTGGGCTAGGGAATTCTGGGAGTTGAAGTCCACCCGTCTTAAAAGTTGCCAAGATTGAGAAATACTATCCTGGAGGGCTACAGGACCTAAGAAAATGTGAATGAGGCTCCCTCCAATTCATCCAGGAATTAAATATTAATATTAAAGCAAGAGGACATGGTGAGCTCAGCGGAAGGCTCCTTTTTGCCCTCTCCCCTCTTTGGAAGAGCTTTATAATTCCCGCTGCCATAAGAAGGTTCAAAACATCCTTAAAGATCCACCTCACCCTGGGCACCTTTTTTTTTTGGAGCTATTACCATCTGGCAGAAGGTACAGGATAATAAAAACAAGCACAAATAATAGGCTGAAGAACAGCTTCTATCCCAGTAACTCTACTGAATTCTACTTTATAGTGCAATATTAATGCAATATCAGGGGTTTTCAATTCAGTTTTATAGGATGCGAAGGATGTGTGTTTGTGTTTTATTTTCGTAGTCCTAAATTGTACACTGAAGATGGCATTTAATGCCGTTGTATGAGGTGCAATGACAATAAAGTCAACTAAACTTGAGGCGCTGCACCGAATCCACTCAGATTTTATTCGAGCTGCCTCTGATTTTGTGCGATCCGGGATCTTCCTCCAAGTCTCCCCCTCCTTCTGGGAACGCAGCCTCTGCCCCTTTTCCAAACCTCGCCGGGGGTTCAAGCCCAACCACTCCTTTCCAAAGCTCGGAAATTAATTACTTCTCCTACCAGGAAAATTTCATTTATTTTTAAAAATAAATTCATTCAGCGTTTTAACGTTTAAAAACAAATTTCCACACTTTACAACATTACAATAGCAGTGTTTATACTGGAAATATCTTCTATTAATGTGTTATATGTCTCTGTATTTGCTTCTTCGTCATTCTAGGCATTTTGTACATGCATACATTTTTATTTACATTTATTTACACGACAACCTTGTTGTTTTATGGTTTTGTAGTATGACATAAACCATTTGACACCTTTGCGTCGTCTTCTTATCCATTTGTACCAAACGTCCCATATTTTATAATATTCTCCTCCTTCTTTATCCTTCAATAACTTTGTTAATCTATCCATCTCTGTGCATTCATATACTATGTACCTTCTGATTTTTATTCTCTTCTTTCTCTTTTTCCCTCCACAAAAAAGTTTGTAGAACCGTTTCGGTCGGACAAATGGAGTTCCAACGACGTGCAGCTTTTTCTGACCCATTACACGGCCAGCGCACACTCATTGGAAATGTTCAGGTGTGTAAAGCGCCCCTTGCACGCTCCTTTGCTTTCTTGCAGTGCCCGTAGTCCTCGACGTACGACCTCCATCGAGCCCGAAAATTTCTGTTGCTAAGCGAGACCCTGGTTGAAGTGAGTTTTGCCCCGTTTTACGACCTTTTTGTTGATAAGTGAATACCTGCCATTGTTAAATGAGTGACAACAGTCATTAAGTGGATCTGGCTGCCCTCCCTGGACTTGTCAGAAAGGTGCAGAAGGGATTGCTAGGACATGTCATAAATGTGAGTCAGTTGTCAAGCATCCGAATGTAAATCTTGTTGATCGTGGGGGTGCTACAACTGTTGTGTGAAAAACAGTCGTAAGTCACCTTTTCCAGTGCCTTATAACTCTTTGAACGGTCACTAAATGGACTGTTATAAGTCAAAGACTACCTGTATTTGCACAGTTTCTCATGTCACAGGAAATCCTCAACTTACCACTAGTCATTCAGTGGTCGTTTCAAAGTTACGACGGGTCTGAAATACGGGACTTATGACCCAGTTTCAGAGTTCTGACGGTCGGGCCCCCTCCTGAGTCATTGTGATCGACCTTTGGGCCCTTAGCAACACCATCTGCATGTCCAGCCGTTTGCAGCATCCTGCTGTCACATGATCACGGGGACGCAGTGACGGTCATAAGTCTGTGGACCAGCTGTAGATCACTTTTTTCCCCAACTTTGAACGGTTGCTAAATAGATCCTAGTAACTCAAAGGACTGACAGAATTTTTCCTCGGTTGAGCAACGTTATCTTCGACAGGGAATCCTTGACTTAACAGCCACCACCGAGCCCAAAGAGTATGATGCTGCTAAGCAAGACACGGAGAACGGAGTTTTGCCCTATTTTTATGGCCCTTCTTGCCTCGGTCATTAAGCAAATCCCTGCAGTTGTTAAATTAATCACAGTCATTAAGTGAATCCGGCTTCCCCATTGACTTCGCTTGTTGGAAGGTTGCAAAAGGGGATCGCAGGACCCCAGGACACCGCAAACCGTCATAAATACGAGTCGGTGGACAAGAATTTTGATCCCGTGACGAAAGGGAGGCTGCAATGTGTTAGGATTCCAGCAATCGCCCTCATTAAACCATGATTCTCGAGCCAAACTTCAAAAAACTCCAAAGGATTCATTAGAAGCGACATACTGGCTGTGTGTGAAGCCAACTGTGTGAAGCCAACTCTGGCCTACGTCATTTACAGTCCCCTGTGACCCTGTTTCCCCACTGGGTGTGTCATAAATCACATTCTCCAATTGAGCACATTCTCAGGCTGGGTGTCATCAATTACGTTCTCCAATTAAATACATTCGCGGGCAAAAACTCTGGTAGTTTAGTTACAATTTTTTAAAGCTAAGATTTGGAATGTGCTTTCGCTTCTAAACTGCTTCACGGCTCTTCCAGATTTCCTTCCTCCTTTCCCCCTCCCTTTTCTATGGCAACTCCTAAAACAGGCCTAGGAATGATTTATGAGTTGACACAATGGTTTTAAGTGTGAAAAACAGTCCTGAGTCACTTTTTTCGCTGTTGTAACTCTGAACCCTCACTAAATGAGCAGTTGTACGTCGAGGACTTGCCTGCATTTATTTTCAATCCTCTTAACCTTTTCAGACCTCTGGCTTTCTCCTCTTGCAGGCATCAAGCACTTTGGGAACGGTACATGGGCACCCTCAAGGCCTGCCTACTGAAGATATACCATGACTAAACCCCACCATTTTTTGATTTTTTTAAAAATTGGGGAAAAAAAAAACCCCAGGTGTTCCTATTTATTTCGGGAGGGACACCCTCAAGGCCAAAGTGCCTGCTCTCCTCGCACCTGGGACCCAAAGCTCATCCTTCCACTCCCCCTTATCGTTTTGTTGTTCCCCTTCATTTTCACAACGAGGACTGGTCAATTATTTTGACTTGTTTTGTTTGTTTTGCTCCGATGAAATAAAGAATCCGTTTTATCCCAAGCTGGAACGTGGCATTGATTTTGGGCTGGCTGGACATTTTACAAATCTTAATCTTAACATTAACAGTACAGTGACATCTGTGATGACCCAAAGGGGCGTGGCACAAAGGCAACACAGTCAAATAAGCAAGAAGAGTCCCTTTAATTATCTCCAACCATGCCCCCAATGTCCAGGTTACCGTCGGCTGGAGAAAAAAACTCCCAGGAACAGCCTTTAAGTGGAGGAAATTCAGTCCAAAAACAAAGTACATATAAATTGTAAATAAAAATCTAAGCAAACCTCGCTGCAGTAATTAACTTGACAGAGCAGGAGAAGGAATTGCAGACTTGAAAGCCCAGCCAAACACACACAGTTGGGAAGATGCCAGGAACACAGATAAGCCTCCACGATACCAGATAATTCACGATTTGCTTCCAACAGTTTCCTATGTGCAACTTCCCTTTTTAAACACTTGTGTTCCCAGCTGCAGTTAATGAAGGGAATCAGGGCCCCTTCCTCCCCCATAAGCCATGCAATCCATGTTGCTCCCTTCTCCATTCCTCCCTGTGTGTTCTAGGATGAAGAGTGGGTGGGCCTGGGTCTTCCTCTTGAACTCCCTCTCCCTTGTTCTACCTCTTCCCTGCTCTGCCCAGCCAGGGTATATACATACACACACACACATTTATCAACATTCATATACTTTTGTCTACGATTTTCTTATCTCTATTCTTATTTCTATTCATCCATTTGTACCAACTGTCCCAAACTTCGTATGACTCTTCTTTATCCTTTAGTTTTAACGTAAGTTTATCCATTTCAGCACAATCTAAGATTTTTTGAATTACTAACTCCTCCGACGGCGTATTCTTTTGTTTCCAACATTTATTATTCCTAACAAGAACAACTCTGGTTTAAACTCTATCCGATCTTCCACTATTTCTTGGATCCAACTCCAAATTTTGGTCCAATATTTATGGGCTTCCGGACATAACCACCACGTATGATAGAAGGTACCTTGATTTTGATTGCATTTCCAGCATCTTGGATTCATATTAGGGTACATTTTGGCCAATTGGAGCACGGAGTCTTAAAAGACAGAAGGCTATGCCTGGGGAGGGGGGGGGATTATGGGGGTTATTTTCTAGCCAATCCTGCACAGAAAGAGGGGTTTTGGTGGTCTGAATTAAAATGGGGGGACCGGCCATCTTTTGAAGGGGGGGAATTGCTAGAAAGAAATCTCTGCTCACAAAAAAAGGAACTGGCTCGATTTGGCTGGCCTGTTGGTTGAATTAGAGCGGGGTTTAAAGGGGAGAAGGCTGGGCCTGGTGGGGGATTATGGGAGTTGTCATCCAACATATCTGTCAAGGTTTGCCATCAGAAGTTGTGGGTGCTCCAATCACTGGAGGTTTTCAAGAAGAGATTGGAATAATAAGGGTATACCCGAGGGTCTCTGGCTTGACCAGAAGGTTGGAGTAGATTACAGGGGTCTCCAACCCTGGTCTGGCACTGGTCTGCGGCACGCCAGAAATCAGTCTGCGCAAACCAGCGAGGCCCCATCCATCCACGGGACACAATCACGTTCCCTCCGGCCTGCAGAACAACCCCTCTCCATGGAATTGGTCCCTGGTGCCCGAAAGGTTGGGGACTACTGGACTAGAACAGTGGTTGCCAACCAGTGGGCCGGGGACTACTGGTGGTCCATGAGAAAATTTTGATGGTCCGCAGAAAAATGTCACCCCCAAAGCAATTAATCCAGGCTGCACCACCCACATGGCCCGTGGGAACACAAGGCTTGCCTTGCTTGCATTGCTAACAACACAAGGTAGTGAGGGGAGTGGGAAAGAGTGTGGGGGGGACTTGCCCCACTAGCCTGGCCTGGCCCCTGGGCTGCTTCTTTCCGCTTCTTTCTTCTTCTGCTTTTGGCTGCACGCAAGGAAAGCAGCCAAAGTCTTTCTTTCTCTCCCTCAAACTCCTCCAGAAATGAGTCTTTGGGACCCTGCGAGGCCTCCTGCTCCAAGAGGCTGCGCCGGCAAAGACTCATTCCTGGCGGAGTTTGGGGGAGAGAAAGAAAGACTTCTGTTGCTTTTGCTGTTTTCCTTGCATGAAGCCAAAAGTCTCTCCTCTCTCTCTCCCTGAGAATGGAGCTGGAGACGATATCCTGCGATCCCAAATAAAGAATGATCGATCAGTAGGAAAACTGAGGGGTGGGGGATTTTCCTGCAGACTTTTGGGGGGGATTTCCCCCAGGGTCTCTGGTCCACGAGATTCAAAATTATGAGTTTGGTGGTTCCTGAGGTCCAAAAGGTTGGCGACGCCTGGACTAGATGACCCACAAGGTCCCTTCCAACTCTGCTGTGCCGTTATTCCGTTCAATCGCTTTCAAAGGCTAGATTCTGCCACCACGGCAGCCACCATGCTAGGGTGAGGTGGTGGGGAGTTTTCCCCTCCCTGAGGGGCGCAGTAAATGGGGAGGGGGCTGCAGCAAACAGGAAGGGGACCAAGTCTGGTTTGGCGAGTCCCCGAGTCCTCCTTAACGGATGCAAACAGCTGGCTGGTCCCGAAAGGGTGTTTACTGCAAGCTAAGTCAAAACAGATGTTGGCCGCCAGCCTTGGACAACATCTGTTTGTCTTGGGGCCAAGAATTTGGGGTGGTGGGGGCTGAATGTGTGTGGGGGGAGAACCAGCCAGCCCACTCTCCCAGGGCACACCCGCCCGTCACTTCTCTCTCTCTGCTCCGCATCCGGCCAGAATTGGGGGGTGTTTGCCTGGAGACGTGTGAAGAAGGGGTGCCAGAGACCGTGCCAAGCGCTTGTCAAGGGGTGAGTGATGGGAGGTTGTTTTTTTTCTGGGGTGGGGCTGGGGGCTGGGAAAGGGGGCTGAGAGGGGGATAGAGAGCCAGGCCAGCCTGGGAGAAGGATCAGGAGTTGAGAAGGGGAGGAAGGAAGGAAGGAAAGTCGTATGTGCGTAAGTGGCAGAAAAAGGGGTGCGTTTTTCGTAAAGTTGCACCAAAGGGGGCTTCGCTCCATCCAGTGGGGGTCCAAGCCCCGAAGGACAAAAAAAATCTAGGGGTGCCCCTTCTCAATTTGGGAGGGGTTTTTTTGCACCAGAAAGAGTGAAATAATATATTTCCAGTGCCTTAATTTTGTGCCCAGCCGTTCTAAGCCACGATCTTTTGACAATCCTGGTTTGTTCTGCTGCCCGAATGCTCTAGAGGACTTTTGGGGAAACGAAGAACTGGCTTGGTTTCCCCACAAGGCTCTCTTAGGTTTGAGAGGTGGGTGGCATTTGTAGGCAGTGCACTGAGGACAAGATAGTCCTTGGGGTGCTCGGTAATACACACACACACACACACACACACACACACACGAGCCTCTAAAGTGTGCCAGCAAACCGGAATGCGTGTCCTTGCAAGCAAACGTTGAGAAATCTGGAATTTGATGTTCGTTCTGACTCTGCTCCAGGCCACTTTTTCCTTCTCACCGGCATGTTGGTTGAAAAACGGAGATAATTTGACTGGCTATCTAAAGTTTATTCTGTACATGAAATTAATAGTAATATCCATGGCGCTTTGGGTTTATGTCCCAGGCAAAAACTGCAAAACATATTATAATTCACCTGATTTGCACTTTAAAAGGACCCTTTCCAGATTGTTCACGCTTCAAATCACACACACACACACACACACACACACACACACACACACGCCCCGGGGTCACATGATCCCCTTTTACTGCCTTCTGACAAAAGCATTGTCAATGGGGAAGCCAGTTTCACTTAACGTCCGGGTTACTCACTTAATGGTAGTGATTCACTTAACAACTCTGGCAAGAAATGTTGCAAAACAGGCTTAACAAATGCCTTGCTTAACAGCAGAAATTTTGGGCTCGTGGTCATAAGTCGAGGATTATATATAGATTTTTTTATATCTATCATCTCTATCTATCTATCTATCTATCTATCTATCTATCTATCTATCTATCTACCCTGTTTCTCCAACAATATGGCCTCCCCCAATAGGAAGTCCCAGCATGTTTTATAGGCATGAAATGAAATTAAGCTATCTATCTATCTATCTGTCTGTCTGTCTGTCTGTCTGTCTGCCTACCTACCGTCCTGTCTGTCTTTTTATCTATCCATCCATCCATCCATCCATCCATCCATCCATCCATCCATCTATCTTTTTCTAGACATAAGCACTTAGCCTGGTACTAGGTTATCCGCTTCTGCAGGTAAACCTGACTTATGACAATCGGGCCAATATGACGACCAAATATTTCTGTTGGTCTCAATGGTCGAAGTTATGACTTTTTTTGCCCTCGTTGTTAGGCCAATCCCCGTCAATGTGAGTCACACAATGCACAAATGGTGTTGACTTTGCTGGGAAGGTCACAAATGGCGGTCACGTGATTGCAGGGAATGACTGTGAAGGTTGTAAGTACGAGGACCAGTCGTAATCAGCTGTCAACTCATAAAATATTTCTAGGGTCTTTTTAGTGTTGCCAACAGAAAGGGAAGGGGGAGCAATGCGGCAGCTTGCAAACCAAAACTGCATTCCATCAATGTTTTCAAAGATAGTAACTAGGTGACTGAAGTTTCTGCCTTGCAAAATTCTAATTGGAGAGCATGATTGATGACTCTGGGCTATGGAGGTGTCCCATTGGAGAATATGAATTAGGATACACCCAGGGGGTGGAGGAAAACCAGGGTCAAGGGTGACAATGAATTCTATGTTTCAGAGTCAGCTACACCCAGGCAGTGCCAGACATGATAACTCCCAATAAATCCTTTTTAAAGTTTTGGTAGTTTGGCTCGAGACTCGTGATTTAAGTGGGGGTAACTGCTGGAATCCTGACATCAGCGTCGTTGCAACTTTGAACAAATACAAATAAGCTAAACAAGTATTGGTTATAACTCAAGGACTGCCTGCTTAGCTTCACCTTTCGCCTTGCCAGCCAGCTTTGAGCCAGTGAGAGAATTGGATGGCAGGGGTTTAAAAAAATAAAACTAAAAATAAATGTCGGATAAACTTAAGTGGCAGGTTGACTCTTACGTATATTGTGTGTACCATTGTCTGACGAAAGGCTGTATTTAGCCTTCCTTAGAGACAGTAGCTCTCTTGTGTAAATAAATACGCATACACACATGTCTTCATCCATCTCTGGAGGAGTTTTCTTGCAATCAAAGTCCTCGGATTCATCCAGGCACAGAAAACGGGTTTAAAACGAAATAAATCCCAGCGTTTTGGAGGAAGGCGTCCCGCCGTTATCTCTTTGAGTAAAGCCAAATTGGGTATATTTATTTTATTCCTCTCTAACTTTTGCATGCTGTTAAAAAACAACAACAAAAACGGAACGAGTTGGGGATCGGAGAAGATTTTGTTCAGCCTGGTATGTTAATCCTGCTACAGGTAGTCCTTGATTTACAATGGCTCATTTAGTGACCACTTGAAGTTACAACGGCAATGAAAGTAGTTGCCTCTTGAAAAAGCAGCGTAAAGCCTACAAACTTGAAATTTGGTACGTTATGTTCCTCTTGGTTACTAGGGGCTCGCTAAGAAAGCATTTTTCCAAATGACCATCAGAGCATTAGTATTTCCTATAATATTATTATTATTAGCACGCTCTGATGCTAAGGAATTCTACTCCCCTCCCCACCTGGAAAGAAATCTCTTTCAAATGGTACTTTCATAGCACCAAGCAGCTTTAGTACAGAACAGTTGAGCTAAGCCACGCCCAGACTCCTTGCTGTCTCTTTCTTGCTCACACAGCAAATACTCTTTCAGTTTCCAAACAGCCCTCAACACTCTCACACACTGACAGGATGCTAGCCAGATGAATACCGATGGATGCTGGTAGGCAGAGGCAGAATTGTTTTCTCCTTTATTTTCCTCCCCCAAAACTAAGCCAGCCACATAGTTTCATACCAAACCACGGGTATCGAACTAGATTTTGAATAATTTTTTCATTGCTTGTTCTTCTTCTCCCAGGTGTGAAAATGAAGTTGATTTCCTGCATCTTCCTGGCCACCCTGCTGAAAGCTGCATTCCCCCAAGAGGACCCCAATACTTACACGGTAATAAAGGGGGCGAATCAAAGCTCAGAGGGTCCAAATTCCTAAAACAGAAACAAGATTGGAACCCCCAAAATTTGTCTTCCATGAGCCCAGAATTGCATTCTTAGTGGGGATATTGAGAACAGGGTGATTGTGGGAATGCTGTATTCAAACTGGGGAAATCAGATCCATCCTTTGCTCAGATTTTCTGGAGAAAACCAGCCTATGTGTGACTCTCCCTCCCTCCCTCCCTCCCGCCCTCTCTCTTAGCCTAAACTATCCTGCAGGGTTGTTGTTAGGATATGGAGGGGAGGGAGAGGACCATGTAAGCTGCCTGTAAATAACATTACAATACAGGTAGTATCGACGTACAACCACCATGGAGCCCCAGATTTTGTGTTGCTAAGAGAGACACTTGTTAAGTGAATTTTGACCCCCTTTTATGACCGTTCTTGCCACCGTTGTCAAGTGAATCACTGCAGTAGTGAAGTTAAGTGGTTTGTTAAGTGAGTCGGGCTTCCCCGTTGACTGTGCTTTTGGGGAAGATTGCATGACTGTGATGGCCCGGTGTGTAATACAAACGTCACAAAAACCAAAACGTAAATAAATGTCCTTTAATGCCTCCAACTTGGCCCCACTGTTCAATCATTCTCAGCTGGAGATAAAACTACTCAAAAATAGCCTTCAAAAAAAAAGCGATACAGTCCGAACTTAATGAGCAGATAGAGGTGAAATAAAAAACCAAAACAAACTACAATGAAGGAAATTCCACAACAGACCAGGATAAGTAATTACCAACTTCAAGGAGATAACAAGGCACAGTCTGTTGGAAGGATGCCAACCAAGATAACTTCAGCCCCAAATAAAACACGCTTTGCTTCTGGCAATGCTGTGTTTTAACCATCTCTCTTATGTACTATTCTCCCCAGCTGCAACCAATGAGGGGGGATCATGGCCGCTTCCTCTCTCGTAAGCCAAGTTGCTCCCTTCTCCGTTCCTCCCTGCGTGCCCTAGGATGAAGAGGGGATGGGCCTGGTTCTTCCTCTTACTGCCCAGCCAGCCTCTGCCCTTCCCCAGCCTCCTCCACAACCTCCGGAGCCACACCTCCACTCCCTGTTGGCCGTTCCTCCTCTCCCTCAGAGTCAGTCTCCACCACGGGCATGACAGTGACCCCAGGGAGGCTGCAACCATCATTAAGCCTGAAAAATGGTCCTAAGCCGCTTTGTTAAAATGCCATCGTAATTGTGAGCGGTCACTAAACGGATGGCTGTTTAAGTCAAGGACTTACGGCTGCTTCGGTTGGACGTGAAAATAAAAACCAGAAAGGAAAACCAGATAGAAAACCAATTTGCAATTTCAAAGATTTTGTTTTGCAGGAAAGGATTTTAGTCTGTCTCCAGTGCCATGAATCCAAATTGGGGGCGGGAGGGGGAGAGTGAAGGGGGGGGGGAGTAAAAAAGGCCCCTGAGCAAATGCAGAGTGCTTTGCCATTACAAACAAGGAAAGGCCAATTCACATCTGAGAGCCGTTTCAATAACCTTAGAGTTATCCTTGACTTACAATCTCATTCGTTTACTGTCCTTCGAAGTTACAACTGGGGAAAAAAGGGACCAGTCCTCACAGTTACGTCCATCGTAGCATTCTCCATGGTCACATGATCCAGATTCGGGAGCTTGGCTACTGGCGTGTACTTACGACAGTTGTAGCATCCCGAAATCATGCAAATGCCATTTTTTTTGACCTTCCCTGCCAGCTTCAGATGAGCAAAGCCAATGGGGAGAAGCCGGATTGCATAATGACCGCGCAATTCACTTAACAGCCAAGATAGTTCACATAACAACGGCAGCTCAAAAGCTTATTAAAAGGTGACACGATTCAAAGGTGGCATAGATGGCACATGTGGCTAGAAAAAGAGAGATAATTGGAAAAGATGATTAAATAAGAATTCTCAAGAAAGTGATACACAAGATATAATACGATAGACAGAAGGATCAAAGATGTATAATAATCAGTGTAATATACGTATTAAGGATAGGTATGAATAGATGTTAAAAGAATAAGACAATATTGAAGATGTATAATAATAACTATAATATAAAGGCAATATGTATTGAGGATTAATGACAAAGATAATATAGACTAAGATAGGTACGAATAGATGTTAAAGTATAAGACAATATTATATGTGGATGTCAATGTTGTTGAAAAAGTAATTAAGATTTGTACTGGTGGAAAATAATAAAAATTTATTGGGAAAAAAAAGGTGGCCTAATTCATTGAGCAGCCACTTTGCTTGGCCCCAATTCTGGTTGTACAGTCGAAGAGTTAAGTAAAGGGAACTCTGAGCATATGCAGAAGGTGCGTCTTCTAGTCATTTATTTAGAATTAAAAACGGCTTTTATAAAGGATAAAAATGGCTGCAATCCGGAATCTGACCAGTTTCTTTCCATTTCTCCCCGTCGTAGGAATGCACTGACGGCTATCAGTGGGACGCCGAAACTCAGCACTGCAAAGGTAAAACACAGCCGCCCCCTCTAACCATTGAAAAACAGATACAGAAACAGAGTTGGAAGGGACCTTGGAGGTCATCTAGTCCACCACCCCCGCCCAAACGGGAGACCGTACACCATTTCTGACAAATGACTGTCCAATCTCTTCTTGAAAGTCTCAAGTGATGAAGCTCCCACAACTTCCGAGGGCAACTTCTGTTCCATGGGTTGATTGTTCTCCCCGTCAGAAAGTGTCTCCTTATCTCCAGGTTGACTCTCTCCTTGTTCAGTCTCCATCCATTATTTCCATCCATTATAACAGCATTCAGGCTACATTCCACTGCCCCAATCTTTCAGTGACTGGGTCAAGGGGTTGTGTGAATGAGACTTGCGAGTCCATGGCAGGGTGGAGGAAAAAGCAACAACAACGAGGGAAAAGAATGTTTTTTTTTCAAAATTTCTGTCTGCCTCAAGAAACAATGGATGGAAACTAATCAAGGAGAGAAGCAACCTAGAACTAAGGAGGGATTTCCCACAGTGAGAACAATTAACCAGTGGAACTGCTTGCCACCAGAAGTTGCCAGTGCTCCATCACTGGAGGTTTTTAAAGAAGGGATTGAACAATGAGCTTTGAAGTCAGTTGGTTTGGGGCAGTTTCACATGTGCAAATCCTGTTTGATTAGCATTGTGTGTCTCTGTGTTATGGTGGTTTGTGACCTTAGAAATCAGGAACCAGGTTTAGCCCAGTTGGGTGAACCTACTGGTGATAACCTGGAGATTGGGTCCTCATTTTACCAACCTCAGAAGGCCGAATCAGTCAGGATCAAACTACTGGCTGTGGGCAGAGTTTGTTTGCAATTCTGCATTCTAATGAAAGGGAGGGAGGGAAAGGAAAGGAAAGGAAGGGAAGGGAAGGGAGGAAGGAAGGAAGAAGGGAAAAAGAGAAAAGTGAGAAAGAAAGGGAAATGGAGGACAGAGGAAAGAATGATAGGAGACAGAAACGGGAAGGAAGGAAGGAAGGAAGGAAGGAAGGAAGGAAGGAAGGAAGGA